ATTTTCATTGTTATCATATTTAATAAAACAGTTGTTATACATTTCATTAATAAAAATTTTTAATTGTCGATTTGTAATATTTATGTTAAAAGCCATTGTTTCAGAAAGTGATTCTAAAGTACAATGAACTCCAAACAACTTAATGCGAAGATCCATTATAGCTGTTACTGGAAAAATTAGTGGCATATTTTTATAATAATTTTTAAACTTTTCCTCCATTGAGTAAATAATTTCAAAGAAAAATGAATCGTCTCTAAATCATGAAAATTGTCCAACAATTTCTACTAATTGTAAAAGTACAAGATTACTAGTTGGATAATAAACTCCAAAACTAACTTTTATTGTCTTATAGAAAGGTTTCAAAAATTTCATAACTTTAAATGTTTTTTCCCAGTTTGAATCAGTTATATAAAATTGATTTTGTTTTGAATTAACAAATGCATTAATAGCATTAGTATAACCAATATACGATTTTAACATTAAAAAAGTTGAATTTCATCTATTAGGAACATCATCAACAAATTTTCTTCTTCTCAATCTAAGATTTTTACAAATTTTTGCAAATTCTTGTTGTCTAGAATCTGAACAAGAAATATAATTAATAGTTCTCTAATTATACTTATTTATGGTGTTATTAATTTCAAACCATTTTGCACAAGTAAATTATATATATGACAAACACAACGCATGTGAAATAATTTAGAATCATATGGAGATGTAACCGTTCTAATTAAAAGCTCAATGCATGCAGTATTAGCACTTGCATTGTCAAAAGTAACACTAAATAGTTTATTTAACACACCAAATTCATTGAAAACTTGTAATAAATTTCACACAAATTTTCACCATTATGTGGATATTCAAGTAAATGAAAAGCAATAATTCTCTTATGCAATAAGCAATTATTATAAATGAAATGTGCTGTAACACAAGTATAATGCTTTCGTCCAAACCAACAATCAGACGTGAAACACATAATTCCATCAATTTTTTTAAAATCATTTTTTAAATTCTCATCCATTGTATGAAATAATTTTATAGAATCAGAATGAACAGTATTTCTACTTATGCTCCTGTAAGAAGGTTGAATGTAGTTTTGCAAGAACTCTTCAAAATATCGATTGTCTGCAAATGTGAAGGGCATCCCACGAGCTGCTAAAAATTTTGACATTCCAACTCGCATTCGTTCCTGCGAATACACAAAATTAGTAAAAGTAACTGATCCACTAGCATTAGTAAAACCAGTTATCTGAGTTTGTCTAGGATCCAAATGTCCCGTTTCATTTAGATGTTTCTCTTTGTGTCTCCGTAGTGTGCCGGTGCCTTGACCATAACTCCAGACATAATCTTTTTTACAGATATTGCATACTGCTTTTCCATCCTTTTCATTTACTGTAAACATTTGCCACACATCTGATATTTGTTTTTTTCCTTACATTTTGAGATTATCCAACTTCTACAATATTATCATCTTCTAAATTTATTGGAGTTTATTGGAGAAGAAGAATCGCGAGAATCCATAATATAGTAGGATTAAAAAGTTTAGTAGTGACTAGTGAGAATTGAGAAGAAAGAAATATAATCAAGATGATAATGATATTTGCAATTGAATAATTGTAATTGTAGTAAAGTAGTAACAAGTATGAAGAATGAACTATGAAGTATAAATGTATAATAACTAATGAGAGGGTATTGTAAAAATAATTGTAAGAATAAATTGAAATTTATAGATGAAGGGGATGATATTACCGTTATAAAAATAATATTACCGTTACTTAAAAAAAAAATTAAAATTTTTTTTTGACCATGCAGGCGTAGGCTCTCCCTGCTGTTACTCTCCTTTTTTTTTTTTTTTAAAAAAAAATTGTTTTATTTTTTTTTTAATCGCGGACTGTGGGGGTGCAACCCGTGAAGTCCGCGGGTTACACCTCCTTGGCCCGTAAACCGTCCGCACTAGTCACGGGTCGCCTCGCGGTCCCGATTTTCACAGGTCTGGCCGGTCCGCCCGTCTTGACATCTCTAAACACACACATACCCCAAAAGCATACTTGCAAGGATGCAAGACACAAATATGTACCAAAAATCCATAAGTAAGTAAAGCCACAACCAAACGTTGAAAATATAATCATAAACGTCGAAGTCATGCCAAAGTTCATTTTAAAAATATTTCAGAAGTACATTTTAGGCACCCAACAGTAACACAAGCAACAAAAAGTTGACAAATAACATGAATATCTAATCACATAGAACATTCAAAACCTAGAAGTGCCATTCTTCCCATAATTTGAAATTTATTAACTTGTAAGTATATTGTTGAAACTTAGCCAAACATGCTCTAAATAGCAGAAGAGAAGCATAATATTTACCATGGAAACATCCGCTAGAAAATAAAAAAAGCAATTAATAACAATGAAAATCATACAATGGACAATGAGTCTTGTTCAGAATTGCACATCGAATTAAGTACTTTTAATCGTCTCGCCAACTCATTAGCTTGGAGTATATTGTAAGTTTTGACTGGCCATATGCAACCCACTTTTTGTACCTGCGTGTAGACAATCAAAATCACACATGAAAATATATCATCTTCCTTGAATTCATAACCTGATCCAATAGATGATTTAAGATGTTTAGCATATCATGGTCATCTTCGATGTCCATAACAAAGAAGTTCACAGAAAATATTAGCTTCCCACGTTGATGAACACATCCCCATCCTTGCCTCATGGGTATCTAATGCTCCTATCTGCCAACTGTAGTGTCACATTCGATCATCTGACTTCTCCAACTCCTAGTTTCCTAAAAGTAGACAAAGGAATTAAATTTACACTTGCACCTGTATACATAAAGCATTAAAATGAAATTCTTTACCTAGTGAAATAGGTAAAGTGAAATTCTTTGGGTCCTTGTATTTTGGTGATAATTTATTTTGCAGCCTTACACTGCTCTCTTGGGTCAATGTCACTTCTTCCCAATCTGGAAGTTTTTTTTTCTTAGATATCACGTCCTTCAAGAACTTTGCATACATTAGGATCAGTCTTTGCATCGATGAATGAGATGTTAATGTGGAGCTTTTGAATAATATATGGCCAAATTTTATCCAGTTTGACTCGAAATTGAAGCTAAGTTCCCGTATGTCAAACGGATAAGTTATTAAATCTCTAAATTAAATTAGCATAACAAGGGAAACTATTAACATGTATGTTACAAAGTAGATCGGAAGATACACAAAGGTTCTACTAAGTTTGCTTAAGAACTCTACAAAAGCATCAAACTGCCCATGAATTATTGGGTAAAACAAACAGTTAACAATACTCTTCCACTGTAGTTTCCCGTTTAAGGTGCTCTTCTTTATGGGGAGGAAGGTGAAAATGAAGTTGCTCATATGATGTATTGATATGCATGATGTATGGAGCAAATCAATCAAGCAATAACCCGTCAAATACTTTGTACCTAATTAATGTGAAGTTTACAGTGAGAAATAGAAACTTAGAAACCATAAGGCATATGGGGACATTATATTCCTTAAAACTATATAGAATCGTGCAAAAATATGCTACAAGAACTCATTTGAACATTGCTCAGAGATTAATTTGAGATTATGCGTTCACTATGCTCAAAGAAAACTTCACTTATACACAAACTTGCAGTACTTCAAGATCTCGCTTTCCAGTGGCCAAGTGAAATTATGGAAAGATGAATCAACATCAAGCAGTGAATATAAATGGTAAAATGCACGTGGCCAAACAATAATGAATAAAATAAGTAACGGTAATATAAACTAACAAGTGAAGGTCACTAATTGAGGATAAATTAAAGGAAGAATTAGAAACAGTTGCAATATTTCTTGTGTAAATAAAAATAAGTTGTCATTTACAATTTGAGGCACCATCAAAACACAACAAATTGAAAGATATAAGAGAAAATCAAAATTAACAATTTCGCTGTTTGAAATCCCATTTTCGATTTCCACTACAATAATTTAGGTTTGTCCTATTAATACAATATTTCAGTTTCTTATTTAAAAAAAAAAGGGAATTTAGTATGTGCATTTGAATGAGTTTTTACTTTTTTGAGACAGTAACTAATTAAGCAGAGTCTATAAGAATGAGTCTTCCAATCCTGTCACAGTTATGGCCGTCACCCAAAAAAACTGAATGTAATGAAAGGAAAGAGAGAAAATTTAGACGACAAATTTTACATTATATTTTTAAAAGGCTTTCAAAATTTAGAGGGTGAATGAGATACTTGTGAAATTTTGAATTTTACTTTAAAAGTTAGGAGTGTCGACTTTTTATGAAGTTTAATAAAAGATTATAAAGTCAATTGGTTTTTATGAATTTCAATTACTTTCTACAAAACTCATAAGCATCTCTTTATAAACGGTGTTGAAATTTCAAGAGTTTGTTAGGCGTATTTTTAAATTCACGGACATTTAATTTTAGTGGACTTTCATTAAAATCTCAATTGATGACACATAAATTTTAATGATTTTTAATAGAATCGATTAAATTTTATCACTAAATTTACAAGAACTTTCAAAATCACAAAGTACAATCCATATAAGTTGTTGATTTATTAAATAAATCTCACATTTATGAGTTAATATATGTTTTTCCGAGGAATTATTTTTAGATTATCAGTTACTCATTAATAATATATAAATAAATATTTCAAGCTTCATTCTCAAATTATTTTTCTAAATTTTGTTATAATTTTTTATTCTTGTTTCTTGGTACCACAGAAATGAAGTGGGGGCGAAAAGCAGGTGCACGCTCCACCCCCACGCTCTAGCCCACCCGCTTCCCCTTCCTCTGTTCTACATATTTATCCGCTCAATATTCTGTGCTCTCTGTCGACTTTTAATTCACAAGTTCATGTAATAAATGTCTTCGTTGACGGTTAATTTCTGTTGTTATGAAAATTTGAGTTAAATCATAGAGAGCCGATTTTTCACACACTAAATTTTAACGAAAGTAAAGCATAAACGAAGAGAAATAATGCCGGAACTGGATCAGTTACTTACTAAGAAGGTCGCCGATCGGTACCTGAAACGCGAAGTGCTTGGTGAAGGTACCTACGGTGTCGTTTACAAAGCTATCGATACCAAGGTATGTTTATTGTATACGCCTATGTGAGAGTTTTTGCCTTTGTGAATGTGTTTTAGGGTTTTGACTTTTATTTGATTCTAGTTTAGTCTACTTGATTGTCGAAACAATTGATACGCTTTTAACTTTTTCTGGGTTTGAGATTATTTGATTTTTTTTCTTTTTATATGATGAGTTCATATATGTGTGAATCAAGATGGGTTAAGAGCTGCAATTCTTCTCAAGTTAAGGAAAAAAATAATTATCTGGCAAGATTTTACTTTTTTTTTTTAATAATTAAAATGGCAAATTTAGGTTATTGGTTTGACGATAATTAGTCGAATTTTGATTCGTGCAGACAGGGCAGACAGTTGCCATTAAGAAAATTCGACTTGGGAAGCAGAAGGAAGGGGTTAATTTCACAGCATTAAGAGAAATTAAATTGCTCAAAGAGCTTAATGATCCAAATATAATTGAGTTGATTGATGCATTCCCTCACAAGGGAAACTTGCACCTTGTGTTTGAATTCATGGAGACAGATCTAGAAACAGTTATTCGTGATAGGAATATCGTGCTCTCACCAGCTGACATAAAGTCCTACCTTCAGATGACGCTAAAAGGACTTGCATTTTGTCATAAGAAATGGGTTTTGCATCGGTACATTTCTTTAAAGGCATTTCCTATCAAGTTTCTAACTTGCTTTAATTTATGTTGAGTATTTTCGACTTATGAATAGGGATATGAAACCCAACAACTTGTTGATTGGAGCAGACGGACAGCTTAAACTCGCTGATTTTGGTTTAGCTCGAATATTTGGGAGCCCAGATCGAAGGTTCACTCACCAGGTATGCTCTCTCTGGTACTCCTATTTATAATTGATGGATGCAGTCAGCACATCCTTAGAAGTAATCCCGTTTTATCAAGTTCACTCAGCTTCCGGCTAATTTTATTTTTCTCTCCTATAACTATGCGTCCTATTAGACAGCATAAAGTTATTGTTGATAAGCATGTTGATATAAATGAACTGATTACCTTGAGTAATTACAATTTCTCTGGAATGATGATTTCAGTTGCATCTTCAAGTTATGAAGTCAGTGATGCTACTTGCATGTACTAAGTAAACTGGTGATCAATATATTCAGCCAATGTTGTTGGGTATTTGGATTTTTTTTGAGTCAAAGTAATTATTTTGGCATTTGTACAATGTTTTTTTGTCTGATTGACATATTATCACGTCGCTTGGAGGTTGAGGTTATGAATTTATTCTATTATGAGCGGCGATAATGATGAATAATATGGAATTGACAAAGAGAAAGCAAAAGAGAAAGCACATATTTACGTGGTTCGACAGTAGGCTACATTCACGGGAGCGTAGCGGCTATGATTTTATCATATGTGAAAATGATAGGATTACAAAACTCTCTCTCTCTCTCTCTCTCACACACACACACACTCTAATCCTAGCCCGTACAGGGTATTATTGGAACCCAAAAATAACCCTCTAGCATCGGCCTATTTTTCCAGTGTACATATATTTTACTCTATATGAGCCAAATATTACAATGGAGTTCTTAAATCTCTTTAGTTGTGGAATGCAGTAATTTCCTGATGGTGGTTTGTGGTTATACTTGGAAACAGTAGGTGAATGACTCATGGTTCTGTGGGAGGTTCTGTCACTAATATAAATGTATTTGTATGGTGCAACTATAACAGGAACCACTCCATCTACTTTAGGAAGAAATGCACTCTCAGTCCCCGCTGCATTTTGCTTTTGGATGTAGATTTATATATTGTTGTAGAATTATGATAATTTTTGTCTACTTATCTACTTATTGCTAATAGGTTCTTGCTGATATGATGTGGATTCTCTAAAAGAGTGCAAATTATATTATAAAGCAATAACTTCAAATCATTCTGCATCTCTTCCTTCAATTATTTTTTTATTCACGAATTATGTATAGTTATCTGTTCTTTATTTAGGTCTTTGCTAGATGGTATAGAGCGCCTGAGCTGTTGTTTGGTGCCAAGCAGTATGGCCCAGGGGTAGATGTTTGGGCAGCAGCTTGTATATTTGCTGAACTACTGTTACGAAGACCTTTTCTGCAGGTGAATTTCCTTTTTCATGTTTATAAATGTTTTTTTTTTTCGTTTCGTTACTTGGAAATAGTTGCTGCTGTTTATGCTTTTGCATTTCTTGATATGATGATTCAGTCATTTGCTTCAATAGTTCCAACAATGGGTACTGGGAAATCTGTGATTATAAGCAGTGGCATGCCAAATCTACATGCACATGCAATTTGAAGCGCAAATTAGTAATGTGGGACTCGTATGTTGCTGGGAACTACAATTGCTTTGGCATGAGTAGTTTAGTCACAATGGTGAAGTAGCCTTAGTCTATAACATTAAAGCATGTCAATGTTTCTGGTCATGCAAAATTACCATTTCAAGCGTCACTTAAAATTATTGCATTTATTTGATTCGTACTCTTTAGGGTCTGTTGTCTTTTCTTTCTCTTTCTGTTTTTTTGTTCTATTTTGGCCCCCCTCAACAATCCCTTGCAACTGGGAAGGCACTTGAAATTTCTTAATTCTGTAGAGGTGTTATGGTGCAGTTCAAGTTTGTCACTCAAACCATTCTTCAAATAAAAACTTTTTGTACATGGTTTTCCGTAGTCATTTAGCTTTGCACTTTTGAATTTTTTACATTTCTCTTAGTTAGATTCGATTACAATCTTTTAGGGTAATTGTGATATCGATCAATTGGGAAAGATCTTTGCGGTTTATGGGACCCCAAAGACATCACAATGGCAAGATATTTTACATTTCTCTTAGTTAGTTTCGATTACAATCTTTTAGGGAAATAGTGATATCGATCAATTGGGAAAGATCTTTGCGGTTTTTGGGACCCCAAAGTCATCTCAATGGCAAGATATGATCTACCTTCCCGATTATGTGGAATACCAATACGTTCCTAGTCAATCGCTACGTACATTATTTCCCATGGCAAGTGATGATGCTTTGGACCTCTTATCAAAGATGTTCACTTACGATCCGAAGGCTAGAATATCAGCGCAACAGGCGTTGGAGCACCGGTATGTTTGATTTGGCATGATGATGATTTCTTCACAATGGTGGGATTTTAACCTTTGCTTTCTCTTTAGGTACTTTTCTTCTGTACCTCCACCTACAAAACCCGCTTCGCTACCTAGACCTCCACCAAAAAAGGAGTCAGCTAGTTTTAAGGTTTTGGATTTTAATTCACATGGTGGTCCAACGGTATTGTCTCCTCCAAGAAAGTCAAGGAGAGTGATGCCGCAACGTGAGGGATTTGAAGTGAATACTCACCAGCTTGACAAGATTGATGAACATGGGAACGAGAATAGACAAGCAGCTGGAGAGAGGAGTGAACATGTGCCAATGTCACTTGATTTCTCTGTTTTTGGGATGAAGCCACCTACTAGACCAACAATTAACAGGTAAATACTATCTTATTGACACATGCACTTGATGACAAATGAATTACCTTGAAAGTCAAAATCTTGATTGAGTTTTGTGCCCTGAGTTCTTTGTGCTAGTTAGTGGCTCTTAGTTCGACCGTTGAGGAAACATGGAGCTCTTCTCCTATGCTGATAATATTGATAATCAAAGTTGCAACCAATACTAGCTTTTTTATTTTTCAAATTCACCTTCTCCTCCTACATAATCCTTGTCTTGTGAGAACCTCTGTTTATGATTGGTTATAATAATGTGATTTAGATGAATGCAGCTTGCACATATAGAAGTATAGATATGCAGGCTATAGGTTGATGGCCAAAGAAGCACAGACATGGACATGGACACGGACACGGACACAATGTGGGACAACACTATATAACACCGACACGTGATTTTTCAAGAAACTAATACAAGGACACGTCGATTTAAATTCTTTATAATTTTATAGTAATATACGGTATCTTTATTTTTATTCTTTTTGATAAGAGACGTGGTACATAGCATGTATCACACTTGCTCAATGAGCATGTTCAATGTATCATTCGAGCATTGAAAATATACAAAAAATAAGACACAACACGTGAGTGTTAGTGGAGAGTCTGTGTCCGACACGACACCTGTTGGACATGTCACGACGCCCTAGTAGGAGTGTCCATGCTTCATAGTTGATGGCAAAAAATATGTTGAAACTGATGGTGTTGAGAAGGATTTGGAGGTGTGTAGAGTAAAGAAAGAAACAAGATACATCAAATTGAAGAAATTACCCAAGAAAAGGGAAGTACAAGTATGAGTACTTGCATTAAGTTTAGGCACCTTAGATTGAGTTGATTGTATGAATAATCGACACAGATATTGGGTTGTAATAAATTTGAGATCATAGAACACCAGCTAGATGATCTTTATTTCATTGAAGATTTATTGTTTCAATAATTTTTTCAAGGTTGTTTATACAAAACAAAAGAGAGGTTGCTGAGTTCTCCAATTCTTTCTTAAACCATGCAGTAGGTTTCCCTTTCAAATTTGTGAAACCATGAAGGAATAAGTAATATAAAATCTGAAAATTAAGAAACGTGAATAGAAGCTTACAGTTCTACTCTTTTTAAATAATGCTTCTTACTGACCCTTGTGGCCCCTAAATCACATAAATAAATAAACCATTCCATCCTCCCCATTCCAGGTTACAGAACACGCACACATAAATTTGTAGACATCCATACATACGTAGAAACTAAGGCTTCACAAGCAAAGAGTTTTAGCACCAGCAACAGGGAAATAAAACTCCAGAATCAGAATCAGAATCAGGAAAAAAAAAAGGCTGATAATGTAAATTTTGAGACGTGATATTTCTTGGTAGTGATGCAAAGTTTTCCCTTTTATTTTTGTGCGGATTTTATTGTTATCTATTTTCTCATGTGAATTTCAGAAACGTTATGTGTTATTTGTTTTTCTTTTGGACCTTTGCAAGATTAATATGTTTGAGACAAATATTAATGTAATCTAATATTTATGTTTTACAAGTCCACATATAAGCTTGTATTGAGAATTTTATACCATAATTGACTTGTATTTTAACTTGTTTTAAATGTGTTACTATTATGTTGATAGCTAAACCATGGTTTAAATCCAAACCAAACTGTAGAAAATGGTTTGGTTTGGAAAATGAAATGGCTGGGTGTGGTTAGGAATTTTTCTGAACCTTTTTAAATGGTTTTGTTTGAAAATAGGCAGAAAAAACCGCCGAACCGTGTTCACCCCTACTTTACATGAACTTAGCCAACATATTCCTCAGTTAGTCATATCTTTAGTATACATCAAATTCTAAAACCAATTTCCATGAAACGCTCAAATACAGGCTGATGGAGCAATACCATGGATGTCGAGAACGTTCAAGATGGGAGCCATTTACTTCCTCTGTGAACCTAACCCCATACATGTCTGAGAGCATCGAGTCCATCTTACTTCACATTGCATAATGCACATTGCACATGTTTTTGTGCATAATACACTTTTTCAGAGAGTAGGCGAAGTATAATGACTGTTGAACAATTAATTTTACATATTTGTGGTAAGATAAAGTAACCCTTCTCATTTGTAAATTAATACTTTTTTCTGTAATAATCACAGTTAACTAATAATGAATAGCTTTCTTGTATTAGCAAACATACTCATGCAATAAACAAATTGAACTACAACTTTAGTTACTGCAGATGTGTGTTTCACGGATTTTCTCATAGATGTGCCAATACTAAGCATGCTGTCATATTTATGACTGTACAATCATGCAAGAAGGGTATATTACATACTTAGCATTGACACATTTATGCGGAAACATTTTTTTTAGTAGAATTAATGTTTTGCATAGCATGCTGTCATATTTATGACTGTACAATCATGCAAGAAGGGTATATTACATACTTAGCATTGACACATTTATGCGGAAACATTTTTTTTAGTAGAATTAATGTTTTGCATGAAAGATGTCTTTTGTGATTCATGTTTTTATTTTTAGATAAACATGTTAGAATTAGTGCCCTAAAAGAAAGGTGGGTACTTGGACATTATTCTGAAAAATGAATAAATTGTTTCTTGACTTTCTATACCATATTGTTTAGCCCATGTTTGATCTACATTATTTTTTTCATTCTCATTCTTCCACTTATTTTCAACCACACATTTTTCAATAAAATAATATTTTTCATCACATCGATAACTTTTCCTTCTTTTTCAACCACACATTCTCCATCAATCTACTATTCCAGAATGCATTCTTCCAAAATAATGTGGCTCAAACACACCCTTAATGAGAAAACATCACAAGGTTCTATAATTATGTTTAAGATTTATGAATAATGCACATAAATTGTTTTTCATAACCTAAATATCAGTCCTCCACGGAAATAAAGTTGGGCACTTTATTCAGTAATGTTTATACCTTTGTCTGCCTCACTATTAGGTAAAAAAGAATTATCTTGTCCATAGAATAGACATTTTCATTTGGAAATTTAATTCAATGTAATCACTAATTGATTATTGAAGTGATTTGGAGTGCAATAAATCATTGTTCATAACTCTGCTTTTGGAGTACAAGCTTCTCTGTGGTTGGAAGATAGAATTCTTGACTCTTTACTGAGAGATGTTGCCATGGGAATTTTTTGGTACTTAATTATATCTGATTGCCAATTCATTAAATGTTTACTAAATAATGATATTTGTGATTGGTTCACAGGACTATTTCATACTAATTTTTACTTCTTTGTGAGGATGATGAACTGGTATATGTGAGGCACTCGAATTCTTGAACATCAAGTTGAGGCTAAACGTTGATGCTAAATTGTTTAGTGTTTGAGTGGGTTGATTACATCTTTTCCTTTGTTTGGCATGATGGTAGAATAAGGCTTTGACATGATGTGGCCTTTTTGGTCGTATATGTTGCTTATAGGCTTTTTTTAAGGAATTGCTTTAGTGGTAGATATGGCCCGAGCTTTTTTGGACTGAACTTTTTTCGGCCCGAGCCGAGCCGGGCCCGGCCAAAAAAAATGAGGCTCGGCCCGAGCCTTAGCGGGCCGAGCCGGCTCGGGTTTTTTGGGTTTTTTTTTTTTTTTTTTGGTGGTGGTGGTTGGGATTCTGGCGAAGGGATGAGTTTTACTGGAAAAGGCTTAGGACCAGATTGTTTTGTAGAAAATACTGTTATTTAAATGATATTAATAATTATACTCGGATATCATATGCATAAATATATTTATTGTTGTTTGATTTTATTAATATCCTGAACCTTTTCTCTTTTGCAGTGCTGATAGGTCACATCTGAAGAGGAAATTAGATCTCGAATTTCAGCAACCCGAAGAAGAATAACTTGTACACAAGTAATACCAAGGGTTTTCAGTTCTTGTGCAAGGATAGATGTTTCGGTATAAGAGGTTTGTTATGGCAATCTCAATCTCAGAAGTTCATTTTTATTAATTGCATTTTGCGATCATTGTTCTTATTTCAAATACTGATTTATTTACCAGGGAAATACCTTTGGGAGACTCTAGACGCAAGTAATTAGTTCACATAATTTTGTTAACCCATAGAATACAGCCTCTTTAACTGGTCATGTGTACTAAGCTACTAGATGACAAAAACTATAAGTAAATAGTTATGTTTGAAGATTGATTTGTGTCTGGGATATTGGTTTTCGAACTAGTTCTTCATGCTTGTATTTTGAACTGGGGAGAGAAATTCATAACTATTTGCGGCAACATTGATTGATATCGTATCAATTTAAAAAGCTCGGGAATTTTGTGAACATATTATGTTTGTTCGATGGATCTTTCCATGATTTTCAGCATGTTATAAGAAATTATATTATTATCACATTTGTCCACCATAATACCATCTATCACCAGATACCATTTTCCCGTAGTGATTACCTTTTCATCAACACTGCTGACATTTCCTCACATTATTTAAATTTATTCCAAATGTTCAACCATCCTCCATTTTTTTTTTCCCACACAATTACTCTCCCTTAACTGCAGATCCAGTGACAACGTCAATTAATCGTATATAGAGGAATGTATGTTGGAAATAGAAACCGATGAAACTGCAATTATCTTCATTTTAATAAAAATCTACAAATTGAATATAAAGGGATTTTCTCTATCTAGGACAAGGATAGTTGACCTCCAAAGTGAACCGGCCAACGCAACATTCTCACAATCTTTTTTTCACGGTTGAAGTCGCATTCATTTTGCTCATTGCTATTTCTGTTGGAATAGTTTTTACCTTTTCTTTTCTTTTCTCTTGCTACTAAAACTTTCAACGGGTTATCTCTTGCCTACTCATGGATTCAGCAGCCGTTCAGAAGGTTGCCCAGTCGGAGAATTTTCAGATTTGTGCTTATTTTTAACTTCCCAGTAAGAAGAATGGGAAAAATGCAGTGTCTTGAATGGGTTATCCAATTTTTTTCTCCAGGTTCCAGTGTTTTTGCTGATAGCACTCCGTAAATTTTGTACAAATCAGTAGAAAATAAGATAAAATTAGTGTCGGTACAATTATTTGATGAACCTGTGGATGAAAATTAAATCCACTTGCAGAGAGGTCACAAAGCGATTGGTGCGGATCAATATAAAAAATCAATTGCATTAGAAACTGTAGTTTTATCTTTTGGTACGGACAAATTTGTAGCCTTATCTTTTAGTTCCAAACAAAGTGAAGCAAAAGAAAAAATCAATGGAGATCCTAACACTTGTTCTTGTAGTATTATCTTTTCTAGGGTGGCATGTCTTGAGATCAAATCTAAGGCACCGGATAACCGGCAAGTTACCACCGGGGCCTTTCCCTTTTCCTATTATCGATAACATTCTTCAACTTGGCAAAAATCCCCATCAATCACTAACCGACCTTTCCAAAATTTATGGTCCTCTTATGTATCTAAAGCTAGGGAGCAGAAATTCAATCATCATCTCATCCCCAGGAATTGCCAAACAAGTACTACAAGAACATGATCAAGTTTTTTCTTCTCGAGCAATTCCAGCAGCAGCAGCAGCATATGATCATTCTAAGAAGTCTATAGCCTGGTTGCCTGTGGGTAACCAATGGCGAAATCTTCGTAAACTTTGTAAAGAACAAATGTTTTCGTTGCATAGACTTGATGCAAGCAAGGGTCTTCGTCGAGAAAAAATGAAGAAATTGTACAACTATGTGCATGATTGTTGCATTAGTGATCAGGAAGTTGATATTGGTGATGCTGCATTTGTCACATCGCTTAATCTCATCTCAGCCACTCTTTTTTCAACTGATTTTGTTCAATTTAATACCGATTCTTCTCAAGAAACGAAAGAAATTATACGGGGTTTGTTTGAAACTGCAGCAATTCCAAATCTTGCAGACTTCTTCCCGATTCTTAAATTCATTGATCCACAGGGTATTATGCGCAAATCCAAGAGTTACATGAGCAAAGTATTTGTGATATTTGATGATTTGATCGATCAACGGTTGAAATCAAGAAGTGAGTCGCCGGATCATCGAGTGAGAAACGATTTACTAGAAACCATCTTGAATCATAGCCAAGCAAGCGAATTCGAATTAACCTTGGATGTTCTAAAGCATTTACTTCTGGTGGGTAAAAACCAGTTTTACTGTACTCAAATTTCCATACTGTACAAATTTCTGGAAAACCGGTTTACAGTCTCTTTATGAAACCAATTAACTTTGACAATCTCCTGTCTACAAAATGGTAAAAGGATACAATGAACTCGTATTTGATTGGTTAGCCACTATAGATCACTAATTTCTTGCATATACTAGGATTTATTCCTTGCAGGAACAGACACTACTTCTAGCACCGTGGAATGGGCAATGACTGAATTAATACGCAATGCTGAGAAAATGTCGAAAGCTAGAAACGAGCTCTGGACTGTCATTGGACGAAACAAACAAGTTGAAGAATCGAACATCTCAAAACTTCCATATCTGCAATCAGTGATCAAAGAAACCTTTAGATATCATCCTCCTGCCCCCTTTTTAGTACCTCACAAGGCAAAAGTTGATACAGAAATCAATGGCTATACAATCCCTAAAGATGCACAAATACTTGTTAACGTATGGGCAACTGGTAGAGATTCAAGCCTTTGGTTAAATCCAGACTCATTTGAGCCTGAACGGTTTTTAAACCGTGAAGTAGACTTCAGAGGCCAAGATTTCGAGCTCATTCCATTTGGTTCAGGAAGGAGGATGTGCCCAGGATTGCCTTTGGCTGATAGAATGGTGCATCTCATGGTTGCAACTCTGATTCATAACTTCGACTGGAAACTCGAAAATGGAATGAAACCCAACGAAGTTGACATAAGTGAGAAATTTGGTGTTTCACTACAGAAGGCAGTTCCTCTCAAGGCTTTCCCAATCAAAATGTGAAACCGCAAAAGTTTGTTTCGCCTTGCTGACTCCATTAGTTGTTGAGTCAGTCTTTTAGCAACAAACACCGTGTTGTAGAATGTGTATATTTCGTTGCTATATATTTTAGTACTTTCAACGACCTGGCATGTGTTGTCGTTGAATATGCAGTTGCTTAACTGCTAGACGCTGGTGCTGAAACAATGTGATAAGACAGTGGTGTAACAACTAGAGAAACATGTTCGCAATATTATCGGTAGAATGAATTCAGGGTAAAATATAACTAAGGTATTTGATTATTGCAGGTATTTGAAACTCAATTATGCTATGACTTGCTGAGAGAAAGATCTTCCATTCAGCAATCCTTTAAATAGATCTGGTACAATATTATGCTCCTACAATTTCATTCTGTACCTGGAGATTGTGGACTGGAATCTCTGAAGAAATTATCCGAGAGAGGTTTGGTAATAAAAATGGTCAAAATGAATATTCAAATCCTGTAAAAACAAGATTTCAGCAGTTCTTTTGTTTCCTTGTTTGCCATTGACAAAATGGTTCTCAATGGGTTGAAATTGATTTCATGTAACCTTTACTTTCTCTCCTTTATTTTGCGAACAAACTTCACATGAACTTTGATTATAGCTTCAATGATGGCATAACAAAATGGTTCCAACTTCCAAGAAGGTTTGATAGCGAAATGCATACTTCTGTTCTGGAGTTGCAAACAAGGAAGTCCATTCTGTTGACTCTACTGGATAGAATAAAACACGTACTTTCTCAAAAGAAGATTTTGATCCTGGCTAACACCTAAGGATGTGAAGCCAAGAAAGGATTTCGAGATAGAAAATCCAAAGGTAAAGAAAACGAGACAAACTATATGCATTAATTGAGTAGACAACATCAATAAACTACACTACACAACTTCCCTGGCTCTGTCCCCTCTACAGATATTAGTAGTTCCAGTGACAGCATAATTCAGTCTTTCAAGCATCCGACTGTGGGAGACCAGTCAAGGAAGAACATAAATCAGCAATGGTGATTATGCGCAAGGCATCATTTTTACCCACTATCATTAGTGAAATCAAAATTATACTCCTCCATAAAAAGGAGCTGCAGTAACTGTTCAGCACGGGCAAAAAGTTCTTCCATCTCGTGTGCTGTTCTGAGAATGGATTGGCTGGAACATTGAATAGTTGCATCAGGACTATTAGAATTTGGGTGTGACCCGAATTTCTTGTTGAATTACTTGAAGAATTCTAATAGAAGTGCACGCTAACAATAATTCGGTTTGAAATGCTATTGAAATCCTATGTCAAGTTGAAGTTCTATTTAAGAAACCCGTTGGGAATTGAAATTTAGTATTGGACTTGAAGAAGAGTTTTAAATGGAGAAAACAATTTGAAAAAAAAATTATTTTTTCTGCCAAAACACTTGGTGCCGCAGCACCCACATGATCTGTTTCGGGTATTCTGTGTTTTTTGCTCCTTTTTTGATTTGGACTCGATTGTTTGGCAATCTACTTCATCAACAACTCTACTAGAAGGGTTTGGACGTCCCCTACATGTTCTCTATAAATATTAGGCTCTTCTATACAATTTTATAAGTGTGAGAAAATAGATTACTAGAATTATATGATCCATTGTAATTTTCTCTATTCTCCATTATTATTAAGTCAATATAATCTCTTAATTCATTTGGCATATTCTTGTCTTTATTATTCTTTTGCTTGATCAAATACTTCATTGTTGTGCAATATAACTTCAACATCTCAATCCGGCGATTGTTTTCTAGTATCTTGTTTGTTTTACAACAGGGACTCATCTGTTTTCTGGTTTGTCGAGATAGCACATGAAGTCCGAATCAAACTGCATGGTGTGCTTTCCTCGGTGCTCCCTTCTCTACCTTTCTAATCCAAATAATTTTCTCCAAAAGAGGCCTCAATTTCCAAATCCCCTGTTTCACACTCTCTGCTTTCAAGTAATGTCGAAGTTGTCTGGCCATGAGCAAACACATGTTAAGCATTGCCGCAGTAAAGCATGTATCCTCTTAACCAGCCATGAGCCACCCCAATTCAACCCGTCTTCCTGCTGGGTAGGTGGGTGGGTTTTAGAAGAAATTGAAGAGATAAAATTATCATTAATTAACGTTTTTTTGACAGCAAAAATAATAATTAAGTTCCTGTACTGTACATTCTTTTCGAGCAACATAAGATTGATAAAAACAATTTAATACATTACCACAAATATTACCTATGAGAGTACTAGAATTTTTTCTTGATTGCTCAAAATTCACGATTGATAAAAACAATTCCGTTACCACAAATATTACGTATGAGAGTAATAAAAAAATTTCTTGATTTCTTTTGCTCAAAATTAACAATTTCTATAACATGATAAATGAAATTGTTAATTTTTTTTTAATAATATTAAAATTTTAAAGTAGCGGTTAGGAAATAACCGTAACCATATGTTAAAAAATAAAAGTCCAACAACTATTATACCTTTTAAAGTACGATTACTATAAAAAAAATAATAATAATAATAATAAAGTTCAACGACAATTAAAAAGTAATGTCGAAAGTATAAAGACGGTTGAGATTTTTACCCCTAGGTTAATTATGAAATAACCGTACTCCACAAAAAGAAAAAGAAGAAAAGATAAATAAAATTTTAAAAAAAATCAAGGAAAAATTGGAGGGTCAGCATCGCCTCCACATGACACCATTTAAATCCGTAGTCATTTAGCTTTGCACTTTTGAATTTGTTACATTTCTCTTAGTTAGTTTCGATTACAATCTTTTAGGGAAATAGTGATATCGATCAATTGGGAAAGATCTTTGCGGTTTTTGGGACCCCAAAGTCATCTCAATGGCAAGATATGATCTACCTTCCCGATTATGTGGAATACCAATACGTTCCTAGTCAATCGCTACGTACATTATTTCCCATGGCAAGTGATGATGCTTTGGACCTCTTATCAAAGATGTTCACTTACGATCCGAAGGCTAGAATTTCAGCGCAACAGGCGTTGGAGCACCGGTATGTTTGATTTGGCATGATGATGATTTCTTCACAATGGTGGGATTTTAACCTTTGCTTTCTCTTTAGGTACTTTTCTTCTGTACCTCCACCTACAAAACCCGCTTCGCTACCTAGACCTCCACCAAAAAAGGAGTCAGCTAGTTTTAAGGTTTTGGATTTTAATTCACAGGTTGGTCCAACGGTATTGTCTCCTCCAAGAAAGTCAAGGAGATTGATGCCGCAACGTGAGGGATTTGAGGTGAATGCTCACCAGCTTGACAAGATTGATGAACATGGGAACGAGAATAGACAGGCAACTGGAGAGAGGAGTGAACATGTGCCAATGTCACTTGATTTCTCTGTTTTTGGGATGAAGCCACCTACTGGACCAACAACGAACAGGTAAATACTATCTTATTGACACATGCACTTGATGACAAATGAACGACCTTGAAAGTCAAAATATTGATTGAGTTTTGTGTCCTAAGTTCTTTGTGCTAATATTGATCGACTGTTGAAGAAACATGCAGGTCTTATCCTATGCTGATAATATTGATAATCAAAGTTGCAACTAATACTAGCTTTTTTATCTTTCAAATTCACCTTCTCCTCCTACGTAATCCTTGTCTTGTGAGAACCTCTGTTTATGATTGGTTATAATAATGTGATTTAGATGAATGTAGCTTGCACATATAGAAGTATAGATATGCAGGCTATAGGTTGATGGCTAAAGAAGCACAAAAATGGAGACAACACGATATGACACCGACACGTGACTTTTTGAGAAACTAATACAAGGACACGTTGATTTAAATTCTTTATAATCTTATAGTTATTTATTGTATCTTTATTTTTATTCTTTTTGATAAGAGACACGATACATAGCATGTACCACAGTTGCTCAATGAGCATGTTTAATGTATCTTTCGAGCATTGAAAATATATAAAAAATAAGGCACAACACATGAGTGTTCGTGGAGAGTCAGTGTGTCTGACATGACACGTGTTGGATATGTCATGCCACCCTAGTAGGAGTGTCCATGCTTCATAGTTCATGGCAAAAAATATGTTGAAACTGATTGTGTTGAGAAGGATTTAGAGGTGTGTAGAGTAAAGAAAGAAACAAGATACATCAAATTGTAGAAATTACCCAAGAAAAGGGAAGTAGCAGTATGAGGACTTGCATTAAGTTTAGGCACCCTAGATTGAGTTGATTGTATGGAATAATCAACTTCGATATTGGGTTGTGTCACGCATTTTATGCAACGTGAATTATACCACAAGTGTACGATATCAAGTTTTGTAATATAGTATTTGAGTAAGAGTGTCGAACCCACGTGGATTGATATTTAATTTTATACTAAGTACTATAATTATTTTAGCTTCTAATTTATTTGGAGAAACAAATTTTGAAATCAATGTCGTTAACTAATCTAATGATAATTTTAGTAACGAATTCAAAGAATGCAATGTAAATGAATGACTCCCTATAAGAAAGGCCTAGGGAATGATTTCACCTAACTTTCAATTATGATTCAATTTTGTCTAACTATTCTAGTCAATTTTCTCATGATTAAAAGTAAGAATCCTAATGTATTTCTCTCCCCTCTCTCGAGTGTTAGCTAGAAATTAATCTTAGAATTCACTTCCAATATCTCTATNAGAATCCTAATATATTTATCTATCCTCTCTCGAGTGTCGGCTAGAAATTAATCTTAGAATTCAATTTCAATATCTCTATTCCGAATTAAAATCAAAGATTTTATCAAGTTCATGATTCTTTTATGGAGTAAGTTTCATAAATCTTCTACTTTCTCTAGAAACCCATAAAATCTACGTTGTGTCAATCCTTGATCCCGCCTAAATTCCCTTCTCTTGAGTGCAGAAATTGACTTGCATCTATTCATTCAATTGGTGGCCAATTAATTGAAATCATTAATTTCATGACACAACCAAACATATATGAAAAACCAAATAGAAATAATTATGACAAAATCAAATCATAATATCAAGTTTGACTACATCAAACCATAGATAAATTGTTTAGTTCATGATAGAATTCATAAAATCTATACAATTTATATGAGAGAACATAAGGAAAAAGGGAAAGATAAACTCTTTTAAAACTTTAGTTGGAATTTCCCTTGATGTTCTTCGCGTCTCCTTGCTTGATTTTTCGAGTCTTTTGTTGTTTTGCCCCTTCCAATCCCTTGAAAATAGGTCTTTATCATGTATTCATAGTATTTTTGGAGTTTTGAACGAATTAGAATTGAATTGGGCTAAGAAAAGAATCAAAAAATTTTAAAAACCCGTTTTCTCTCCCAGTGGCAGCGCCCCCATGCTGCTGCTGATTTTCAGCGACAGATGCGCTGCGGTGCCCATTTGGGGTGAAAATTTAGCTGTGCACGTCCTTCGATATTTCTATCATAACTTTTTCTCCCGATGTTCGATTGAGGCGATTCAAGATGCGTTGGAAAGATAACTCAAATGGCTACAACTCTGTTTCAAATATCATTTTCTTATATGAACATTTGCTATATCAGAAATGAGTCTCAATATGAGACTAAAAATCAGGAACATAACTTTTTCGGTTGGAAATTTATGTGTCATCATACTTTAATTATATTTGATCCATTTGACTTCTTTTTTCATCCAATTGACTCATAGCACTCTCGAATCTTCATTGTGAGGTCAGACACAACTTTTGAATATTTGCATTTTAGTCCTCGAACTTTGGATATCTTACAATTTAGATATATTCTCCAATTTTGCCAACTTTTGCTTATTTCCTTAAATTTAATCAACATATATCACAATATCAAAACACATTGATAAGTGTAGTTTTTACACTTGTTTGAGACCCTAAATTATGATATTTTATTGTCTTTTGGATAAAATTCTACCTAATTTATGTTATATTATATTTTGTAGGTATAACTTTATGTTTAATTAAAAATTGGAGAAAAGAATCCAAAATTGGAGAATAATGGAAAAATTCAAAGATGAAACCTTGGAGAAAAATATTATATTAAATGAGTTCGAGTTAAATGAGTATCAATAAACTTGCATTGAAAATTTTAATTGAAGACCCAAATTAAATACACACACACACACACACACTAGGGTTAAGTAGCGTGCAATGCACGTTTTCTTAGTTTATACTTTATATATAATTTTTTTGGTTAAAAATTAAATTTTTATTTATAAAGATGTAACTTTTTTGATTAATTAAATAACTAATGATGTAATGTTTATGTAATTGATAAATAATTACACATTGTGATATATTAAAAAAGAGCATTAATAGAATCTATAGTATGGTCCTATAAATAAACATCGCTCATAGTTTTATGAAAGCTGTTTGAGGTAATTTTGATTCTAAGATAACGATTCAACATTTTCCTCATTTTGCACTGTTTCAATAGAAATGACATTAAACTGCCTATATTTTTTTCCTTTAATTTCTCTGGATCTACATAAACTTGAATCTTTTAAATTTCTTTTAATAATTTCTCTGTAACGCTTTTAACATATGGTCGATTTTCCTACAAAATAAATTTTGAACATGTTTACATAATTAATAAAAAAATTCAATTATTTTTTAAGTAACTCATTATAATAAAAATCGAGTTCTGAAGAAAAATTTAAGAAATACCTCACCAACATGTCCAATCTATTCAACTGTTGAACAACCAAGTGTCTGTTCTGCTACTTCACCAAACATAATAGCAGCTAGTTTTCCAGTATTATCATCCAGTTCAACATATCCCCTAACACTTTAAATAGTGTTAAATTCTAAATTAAATCAGATATCAATTTTAAATTAAAATTGTAAGATACGTATCGGGGTTTGCAGACGCCTTGGCTTTTGCAATATATACAAACGAAACTTTCATTTTATTTATATCCAATTCCTTTATTATAGTCAACGCATGATATGTAATAAAATACTTGGGGCAAACTAAATCACATTTATCTTCGCCTATATCCAGAATTTTGCTTTCTACATTAAATCATAATCAATTTTTAGAATGAATGTTACTGTAAAGACAAAAAAATTTATAAGTTTGTGTTTCGTACTATTATATTATATCAAATTTTGCACTTAATAATGAACTTTTTGTACATAATAAAATAATAGATAACATTACAATACAAAACTAAATAAATAAATATTTTTTCTTCATTAAGTTCAATTTACCTTACCAAATAAATTATTAGCATTTACAAAGCCTTTTGCATTTCCCATTCATTTATTATTAGATAATGGAATTTCAATAAACACAACATCAATGGCCACAAACGATGGCTTAATTGCTATTTAATGGAAACAATAAAACTTCTGTTAAAACAACCAATTTCGTTAGATTTTCCGTCAAACAAGAATTTCCGTTTCATAGGCATATTTTACATATAGAAGATATATATTACACACACGCATGGCAGACCGAAGAAAACGGAAAACGGAGAAAAAAAAGGTGGAAGAAGAAGATTGCGGCACTGGCACTAGGAAAAAAGAAAGAAAGAAAAGAAGGGAGAAACAAAGGAGAATAAAGAAAAAGACATGCACAGAAAACAAAAGAGAGAGAGAGAGAGTGAAAGTGAAGACAGAGAAAGAAAAGAAACGCCAAAGGCAGAAAAAATGCAGAAAGAGGAGAGAAAAAGAAGAGAAAGACAAGAAGAAAAAGGAAAGGAAACTGCAAATACCACAAATTTCATGTTTCGTCATTTTTTTGTGATATTTTTCCACTTTTGGTGTTTTTCAAAATTATATATAAACATAATGTTGACCCCAAAAAATGTTGCCAACAGATGTCGAGCCCACTCGTGCATGTGGAAGCCTTGTCCAACACGCATGTGCCGAAGAACGGTCAGAAAGGCTCCAAAATCCGGGCGTGGGAGGAGCTCGCCGCACGAGACGTCAGAGTTAGGGCCTCCGGCAAGAAGAAATAAATACGATTGTATAAGAAACCAATCGATAAATAACAAGATTTGTAGTTGTAATTTTCGTAGTAAAAAGAGAGCAATATGTTTCCAAATATTCAGTTTTTCATTTGGAATTTGGCATTAGTCTTCATTGTATTACATGGTTTGGGTATTTATAGTGTTACAATTCAAATTGTGACCTTTGGATCAATTTACACGTGACACCATCTCCTCGGCCAAGACATCAAGTCCTAGCCATCAAGTTGACTCTCCTAGCCTTACAAAACATTAAATGCTCTTACATTGACAAGACAAGACACAAATATACTTTACACAAAAGTCATGTCAATCATTCCAAATAAGATCTTTATGTAGAAGATCTCTTGGGAGAAGTGAATATGGAAGATGTGGGCTTCGGCCACTTACACAGAGCCTCGGATTCTTCATGAGCCTCGGATAATGCTTGGGCCTCGGTTGACAACATGACATTGGATGATGCTTGGGCCTCGGTTGACAACATGGCCTCGGATGAAAGGGCTTCGGCTAGCAATGATGGCCTCGGATGAAAGGGC